ATATATATATATATATATATAGAGCTTCCATTGAGGGATCCCTCAAATAATCTTATTTGAGGGACACCCCTTGTAGGGCCCACTCCGGATTGTATTTCACTAATCCAAACCGTCTATTTTGTAGATACACATTCAAAGATCATCTCTACAAAAAATCACTTGAATCCGATATCATTTGACTATTCAATTGAGTTATTGAAATTTTAGTACTTTCTTGAAACACAGTGTTCATTGATTTTGTATGACACAATTGGATGTCGAAACGGTTTCCGATTTGTCTAATTTTTTGTAAAGATGATCTATGAATGAAGACCTAAAAAATAGATGATTTGGATTATTGGAAAAAAAAACTGTATAGTACCCTAGCCACTTGGGCTTTTAAGTTAAATTCATATATATATGAATGATATTAGACTTAAACCCTTAAAACCCTCAGCCGACTTTGCAAAATATCTAGACTTTAGCCCCCACGACTTCAACCCTTGTGGCTTTCGGCCGCCAAAAACTGGGCATCGATAGCAAAGAATCCGACCGCATCTTCTTCCAAAACCCGGCCGAGATTTTCCAACAATCCTGGCCGCAAACTCCATTAGACCCGCCCGTGATTTTTCCAAATTTCGGAGTTCCATACCCGGCCACTCCAACTAAAAGATCTGGCTGCAACCTTGCTAGGCCGGATTGCTACGGCCGCCAAGCTTCAACATCTCGGCCGGGCCTTGAACTCTCAGCCCGGCCACATCTTCCAGCCTGTTCTTCCGGCCGTGCCCAGCTATCAAACCCGGCCGACTCTTCTAGCCGTGTTCTTCCAGCCGTGATTTTCAATAGCCCCAAACAAACTCATTTACTTGAATTTTCAAATTAACATGTCATGCAATCAAAAGACATAATTCAAAGAACAATGCTAGAGATAAGATGAAGAGTACTCCATTCTCTATAACGCAGCCAAACTAGTTGCTTCATCGCTTAGAATAGTGTTCATATATTCCCTTATTTATAGAACATAATGGTCCTTACATGGCAGCAGAGCTAGTAATGATTTTCAGCATAAGCTACGTCTTAAGATCAAGGGAAAATAAAACTTTAACAGATTTGGTTAATAAAACTTGATAAATAAGGATAACTAAGAATGCCAGTGATAGGAATCATACTGAAACTGAATCACCACCTTGCACAAGCCTATCAACAAGAACACCAAGCGCCTGTAGACCAATAGTTTGTGTTAGTAACTGAATATTCTGTCATTTTTTATGTTGGTAATCATAAGAAACACATATCGGAAAAGGGGATTTCAGAGGATGTGATATTGTTGATCCATTTGAAAATGATAATAGGTTGAGAGTGCATTCCAATGTTTATAATTTGCACTTATTAGCCATGTTGTTTGTAGTTAATATTAAGTTTTATTATATTTTTATTTATGTATGAAAAATGAAAAGAGGAAAACTACTGAAGCTCACATGCAATGCAAGAAAGAAAGGAAAATTCGGGCACCTTAGGACTACTAACGCTTTGTTTTCTGCTTATGGCTGTCATTTTCTTATTCTAGGGTTTAGTTTCTTTGTCATAGAGAAGTAACTCCCTAGCTATGACAAGAGAATGAGTAATTTGTTTATCAATGAAATGTGTCCTTATTATTAGTGTTAATAACATGCATCATTTTGAATTATAATTGGAAGGATAAAAAGTGTTTTAAGGGTCTCTGGCAAAGCAGAAAAAGTAGAATCCTGGCAGGATCAAAATAAACAAGAATGGTCAAAAACCTTTCTGCAGCCTATGGACTTTGAATCTTCATTATCACTGATGGGATTCAGAGTCTCAAAACATATAACACCTTCAAAACAGTCCTTCAATCCAAGCTTACTAAGAGTTTTTGCCACATGGACCTTGTCCCCATTTGAGAAAATCTGTTTCATATTGTTAAGCCAAAACATCAGAGAAATTAAATCTTGAAGCAAATTTTTTAGTTACCATCAACTTGTTTCTATATGTAACTTGCAGCTTACAAGTTTCCGATACGGCAGGCTCAGCAGCAGAGTCCTTAGGACATGGTCAGGTCTTAGTACCTCATAGGGAAATCTTCCATGAACAGAACTGTAAACGGGGAATTTGTGGGATAATTTCATACTTCCTGATATGCACCCGATCATGTAATGATAAATACAAGAGGTTAAAGGGAGGAGGAAATTTGGTACCTATGGTAGTCATCATTGTCAAAGTTATAACCAATGGCCTGCACAGGAGAAAAACTTGTAAGAAAGTTTATTGATATAAAAACTTTATAAAACACTAAGATATTATAATCTGTGGCCATACCCTTAGACCAGCCATTGATGTCCTGTAATTCTTGTATAACACTTAATTAAGCTGAGTGACTGTTGTTTCCTCTATGCTTAGTTTTTGAACCATGTATTCTGAGAAAAGAGATACAAGAATAATTAGATTGATTTTTTCTTGTAATTATTAGATAATGGATGAAAATGGTTTTGGATGGAAGGGTGATGAATTATATACTGCACCTTCAATATTTTTGGTACATTGTTTAGACATTCCAGAACTCGAGGGATAAAGGGTATCATCTAGATCTGCAACACAAATAGTTTTATGTTATTGTTGGTACTAATGAAAAGTGGCTAGTTAGGTAGCAGATGCAAAGAACAACACAGAAATATGTTGATTGAAATTTGACACAAGTAATTAGTTATAATGACTTAAAGAATGATAAAAAAAATGAAGGAAAAAAGACTTACCACAGAGGAGACACTCATATTTTGGCATCTGATCAGCCTGCTGATACTGGTTTTGGAAATCCATTCTACTCTACAAATTAAAAGCTTCAAAAGTAAGGAGCATCATCAGTTCATAGATAGGAAAAAGAAAGCTAAAGAAGTGGAATTAGTTGAAGCATCACAATGTGGGGATTCATTTCATATTCTTATTCATTATGAGAGAGAGAGAGAGAGAGAGAGAGAGAGAGAGAGAGAGAGAGAGAGAAACCAATTATCCCAACTTATTATTTTTTTTTTCAACACTAAACCATCAATGAATATGCAACATTTGAGAGCTATTATGTGGAAGAAAAAGTACCTCAGAGAGAGAGAGATGTAAATAAGGACTGAATGAATGAGGAAGAAGTTGTGTGCAGAGAGGAGGATACAGATGACCGACTTAAATTGAGAGAACTCTATATATATAGGAGGCTTGAAGTATAATAATGAAATTCACAGGAAGGTCAAAGCTGCTACCCTCTTTGATATTGGTCTAGCCGGACTCAATGTCTAGAAACATATGTTATGTGACTGGCCATCCCTTCACAATTCAAAATTTAACAGCGAAAAGAAATTAACAAAAACACAAACTACATCTTTTTTACTTTCTTTTTATATGCCATGACATCTCTAGTGCTGCAAGCAAACCTGATGTATAGATTCCTGCCTGCTATTTGGCATTGAATCTTTATAAGCTTTGCAAATCTACTAGACCCGAGCAGTGAAACTCCCATTTATCACATATACAACTTAACAATATTTTACATGAAACTACGCAGATTGAGTAAACAACAGAAGAATAAGAAGAAGAAAACATAATAATTCAAAACAAATAAACAAATGCCCATCAACAGCATAAAGTTGTGGCAAAATCTTCATTAAATCGGTTGATAGGTCCTCTTTTTGTTCCTCAATTATATAAAATTACAATCCATGCTACAATAAAAAGGTTTTGGCTTGAAAATCTAAGGTTTCTTCCAAGAAATTAAAATCAAATAGAGAAAATTAACCTGTTGAAAATGGCTGTTTATACCATAATCAACCGAGCATATCCAGCCTCAAAACAACTAGCACCAAGGCAGACACGCCTTCTCCCCTGCCGAAGGAAGGCACTCTTCCGAGGTGCTAAGCACCAGCCGAAACTCCCGACTGCTGAAGGTCCCAATTGCTAAACCTAATCTCCATGACACGTGTCACCACCACAGCCACTTGCACAAAGTCCCACATCGAAAATCTACACAAACCTCCCACTTTCACTTCCCTATAAATAGGGAACAGTACCCTAGTAAAAAGGGTAACTACTTTCTTACCTTTTACTATTACTCTGCTAAAGTTACTACTCTTAGCTGACTTAAGCATCGGAGGGCCTTCGGCCGGCACCACACCGGTGTCCAAAGCTTAACGATTGCTTCTCCTACTTTGTCTTCTGCAAGCTAGTCCCTTACAAAAGGTCCTCACCTTCTCCACTGCTGAAGACAAACCCCTATTTCTCTAAGTTGACCCTATCCGAAAAAGAGCATCAACAATGGCAACAAAAGTATTGAAGTTGAGAGGGTCCTCGACGAATAACATGAGCTGTGCAGCCCTAACGGCCAAGCCAAACCTACCAATTGGAGCTCTGGTCATGGCGCCTATTGATGCTGGCCACCAAGGTACCCTCCGTCGTCTGCTCCAAGGCCTTGCGTCAGATCGCCGCCTCTCTTCGGGCAGTCCCTGAGTTTCACCTCTAGCTCGTACGACATCGTCGTTCTGGACAACACCGATTGGAGGATCCCACTGTGAATCATAATGGTTGAGCATATGATGGTTTTAGCAAGATTGTGGCAGTGATAGAGGAGAGAGAAGAGAAAGAGAGTTTCAAAGGGACTAAAAAAATGAGAGGGTGAGGAGAGAATTTTTCAGGAGATGAAGTTTTAGGGTGACAGTTTTAGAGGGAGTGAAAAAATTGAGAGGGAGCAGGAAGTAATTGGGGCAAGAGTTTGAGAAGGAGATGAAGTTCTGGGCAAAGAGTTTGGAGGGAGAACATGAAAATTTTGGGTTAGGGTTTACTCGACTTTAGGCATCAGAGAGGTGTTATCTAGAAATGTCCCTCTTAAAATTAAAATAAAAACTAATCACTTTAGGCATATGTGGTTATGTAGATGATGCTAAAGGGGAATAAAGGCATCGTCATAAGAAAACAAAAATTTGTGTTGATGTCTTTATACCTGTTTAGTATCGTTATTTATGAAATCGATGCCTAATCTACTAATAGCATCGATTTCTCTATTTAAAGGTGCCGATGTAGTGTTGCTACAAGTGAAATTTGGCATAGTGAAAGAAATTGGACAATTCAAATTCATACGAAGTACGTTACCTAAATGGAGTGTCTTGTCTGTCGCAAATCTCACGGCCTGGTGCTCCGGGCCGAGGGGATGTGCGTCAACACGTGACGTCCTTCTTTTGGATGCGGTGCAGTTGTGCGCAGGCGTGCCAGCACAGTCTACCGTGCGTCGAGATGATGATGAGGTTCGGGTAGAAGATGGTTTAAATGTTGCGCCTATTTTGCGTTCGACTCCTAATCAAACGATCGTGGCCGAGAGAGGAACTGATCTCGACCGTCAGGTTCATGGCCTGAGCTACAAGGCCGTTTAGTGGTGGTGTTGGTGGCGGGTTTTAGGCGGAGCTCCGGCGCGTTGCTCAGAGAGCGACGGTCGTATGATATATGGGGTGAGTGAGGCGATAACAGAGATGGTGCTCCGGCGCCTTGAATATCAAGGGTCGTATGATATATTGATGAATGGATTTTCCTTACAATCTACCACTACTCCTAAGAAAGCAAATAAAGGTATTGAAAGTGCATTACAGAGAAATATAATTTGCTCCGTGGGAGGCTTTTGGTTTCGTGTTTGAACCCTTTGAATGTAGTCCTGAGCTTATTATTTATAGGAGTCCTGGAGGGACATTCGAGGCTGACAAGACCTGCGTGGTGGAGCCTGACCGAGGCAAGTGGGTAGTCAAATCGGCATTTGGGATCGTGAAGCATGGTGGTTTGGGGTTGAGAAGCATGGTGGTGTGACCCCCATAAATCTCGGTAAATCTCGGCCACCGCCCTGATCGTGGGTTCTGCCCCTTTGGCCGTGGGAACGCATTTAATGCCTTGGTCTGGTGGTTGGCGATCTGACCTTAAGTCGTAAGATTACTTGTGAGAATGTCTGCGCCTAACCACCCTGATTTCCATCACCAAATCCTAACTTCAGTCACTTCCCTTGTGCATTAAATGCTTCTTGTGACTAGTGGGTTTGCTGCGAAGTCAGAGGCATTACTTCATTAAATGGGAGCGTGGAGCCCTGAGGCCACGTGGCGGAATGCTTGACGAAATGGTAGGCGCCAGGGCCGAAGGGAAGTCCCTTCAATCAGTTCATGACCGTAATTTATTAGGCACAAACATTGCCCCCACATCGTCACACCTTGGACTGATGACGACGGCACCACCACCGACTCCTGCGTCCTCGGCCCCTCTTTAGATGGCGGGATGCCAGAGAGGCTGGTGGCTCATTTGAAGAACAATCTGGTGGACCTCTCGGCCTTTGATGGGGGAGACTTCCAAGATTGGAATGTCGCCAGGCCGCAACCCCAATGGCCAACCTCGACCCCGGACTGGGAAAAATGGCTGTCGAGGATGGAGCACTTCTTCGGCCAGCAATGGAAGGATCAGGGCATCTACCACTTGATCAAGCTTTTCGACCGGCCGCTCGTCATGGACCGGTCGCTCTTGGCCGCGGCCCTATGCTTCTGGTCGTCGGCCACAAATACTATGAACCTTCGGTTTGGTATGATGACGCCAACCGTTCTAGACATGGCCGCCCTATTCGGCCTCTCTCTCCTTGGCGTGGAAGTAAATGCCGCTCTGGTGGCCCCTGAGGCTGAAGGGAGTTTTAAGGCCGCATGGCCTACGGTCGCCAAGCTTGCTGGGAGCAAGGCGAAGAACATGCTCAACTATTCCAGCTTCTACAGCAACTTCGGCCACCTTGGACGAGGTCGAGCATGCCACGTTCTTGCTGTCCTGGCTATGCAAGTTCATGTTTTGCACCCAGGCGAATAAAGTCACCCTGGAGTTTGCCCACCTGGTCGACTATCTTGCGCAGGGCCGAAGGCTGGCGCTCGGCCCATTCCTTCTCAGTCATATCTACCGCACGCTTCACGACGTCGTCACGGATGGGATGAAGCCGAAGCACGATGATCCACTATGGGCCTTCCAGTTCTGGCTGCAGGCTTATTTCCCAGAGCTGAGGGGAGCAGCCAATATTACCGACACCGAGCCATTGGCCAATGCGTTTGCCCGGGCCCCCAGGAAGCATAAGACCTCGACTTCCTGTTCTAAATTTTTCTACGGCTTGGTCGAGAGGACTGGGTCGCAGTTCCGGGTGTGCCTTGCTCGGCCCTACCCTTTGTTCTTGGCGCACAACCTCTCCGTGATTCCTGACAGTGAAATGGAGAACGATTTGAAGGAAATCTGGGGCTCCTTCCTGGTCGCGCGCGACCTTCACTGCGGCTTGTCCAAGGCTGGGGCCGAGGTTTATATACCGAACTTGGTGGCGCGGCAATTTGGCTTGATCCAGACGGCACCGCTTCCCCCGTTGTCAACCAACCGGCTCTCGTCTTGGAGGGCCGATGTCGCCCAGCAGCACGGCGTGACGGGCATTCCTTCCAGCTTCAAAAGGGGATGACCTTCCTCACTCTAACGCCTTGGCTGCGTCGTAACGCATACGACAAGGATGGAAGAGTATGGTACGAGGAGTGCATCTCGGCCAGATTCATTCGGCCTATTGAAAATGCCGTGAGGGGGGGCTTTAAAGAATGCAGATTGGGACCCTCTCGTCCCCAAGGCTGGTAAAGGGAAGAAGGCCCCGGCCGTGCTTCCTCGACCGAGCACGCCGGTTGCGGCCGGACCCAGGGTGGCGGCCCCTCCTTCTGTTAGAGCAGTGATCGCGACCTCAACTGCGGCCCCAACCCCCAGAGCTCCGGCTGTGGTGGGGGCGCAAAAAACTTCGGCGCATAGGACCATGCCATCCGCCCCGCCGGCTCGACCGATCATTGCCGTTTGTAAGCCCTCTTTCTTTTTGCTTTCCCGTTGGCTTCTCCGAGCCACCTTTGTCTTTGTTTACTTGCTTCTTACCTCTTTTACTTCTCCCTGTACACACAGCCCCGGGTCGCAAGAAGGATCGAGAGGCCTCAAACACTGGGGCCGCAGCGGTTGAGGCCGTGACGGCCGAAGGTGTTGCCATTGAGACGGCGGTGCTAGAGCGGCCGAGGAAAATGGTCCTCCTCGTTCTTTCGGAGGCCGAGGATGAGGAAGAAGTCCCCCCTGGGATCGTGAGTGAAGCTCCTCTCGTGACCGTAAGTACTCCTCCTTGATTTCTTTTTTCTCCTCCTTTTTCAGGCCACGCCCTCCTCCTCTTTCTTTTATGATAATCTGGTTCTTTCCTCAAGGCGAGGCAGTGGCCGAGGAGTTGGCCGATGAGGTGGCCACTGCCGAGGTAGCAGCTGAGGGGACGGCCACCGTTGAGGTGGCCGAAATGATGGATGCCGAGGCAGCGGTTGCAGAGGTGCCAGCCATTGAGGAGGCCGCCGCGGGCGTGTCGGACGATGAGGTCCTTGCCGTGGACTCGACGCAGGCCATCCTGGTGGAAATTCCTTCGGTCGCCTCTGCCATGCCTACCTTTGCCGTTACCGTGTTCGTTGAGCCGTTGCCGTCCGCTCCTCGTCGTCCAGCTGGCATCGTGATCCGCTCGGTAAGCGTTTTGTTTTTACTGTACTTTCGTTTTATTTTCAAAATTCCGCCACATGCCTTTGACCGAATTTTTGCTTCCAGCCTCCCTGGTTGTCACTATCGCTATCCGCGGTCGCTGTGAGTATGCCCGCGGCGCCACGGTCCCAGGACTCGATGGTAGTGACTGAGCTTAAACTGGGGCCGCCTGTCTCCTCGATGGTCCTGACCGAGCTTGTGGTTGCAGAAGCTCCTAGCGCGCCGTCGGCCGCTGAAGTGAGTATTTAGATTTTCACCTTGTCATTCCCCATGTCCTAGTTGGTTGTTTCCCATTTTAAATTTCCTTTTTCATTTTCAGGGGACCTCCTCCTCCGATGATCTCGAGGAGTTATATGCCAGTCTTCATGAAGAAGGAGGCAGCTCGGCCTCGGCACCTTTGGATGAGGACTCCAGTGCCGTCATTGAAAAGCTCCGGGAGTACATATTCCTTGGAGTTCACCAAATGATCACTGCTGAGGCATTCATGGAGTTCAGGTCCTATATGGATACGGCCATGGCGTTGGGTCTGCTTGACTAGGCTCAGCTGGACGAGCTACAGGCTCGCTTGGTCGAGGGCAAGGAGATGATCGGTCGGTATGCTGAGGCAAACATAAGGATGATCGAGGGATGCTCGCTCGAGGAAGAGCTGCCGGCGATAAAAGACCAAGTCTAACCTGCCATGACCCGCTTGAAGGAAAATGACCTCGTCATCCAAAGAGAGAATGAGGAACTTGCGCAGGTCGAGGTTCAGATTGCCGAGCTCCAGGCCCGTTGAGATCTCATCCTTCAGCACCGAGATGGAGCGGTCATGGTCGGAACTGAGCTGAAGTCTTCGGCCAGGCAAATCCTTAAGGCGGTGACCGAGAAAAAGAGGGCATTGGCCGAGAGGAAGCTGATCCGGGCGAGGTGGCAGGCAGGTATAGATGGTGGGGACATTGCCTGGAGAAGGATAACATGCCTAATATGGGGGATGTTTAGTGAAGGGGTTTAGGTGGGTGGGCGTTCAAGGATTTTGGGATGTAATAATTAAACCCCTCTTCTTTTCTTTTTTCTTCCCACAGACATACAGATACACGCATATATACATATATATTTTTTCTTTGTGTTGTGATCGGCCATGACTGGTTGTTCTTTTTTTTTCCTTTTGTAAAAAGAAACGATCTCTTCGTCTAAATACAAAGCATGGGCCTTCTTCTCTGATTGATTGAATGTATGATGTCTGCTATATATTGGCCGCGCCGTTTGTTTAGCTTGCTCGCCCACTTCCCCCTTTTTTCTTTTTGACTTTTTTGTCGTAGGCCCTCGGTGCCATTTTTTCTTGAACTTGCGCCAAACTGTAAGCGGCGAGTCTTGACTGTTCTAACTTTTCTAAACTTCGGGGCACGGTTTGCGCGTAGCTCTTCATCTTTCGCCTCAGTCGCGTGAAAAATTGAAGACATCGAACCTCTAGCTCTATTAGTTTATGAATGTCATGGCTGTAGGTCAAGATATAGGGAAATGTGCTCATGGAGTGCTTTGATGTGCGATGTGCCCAAGAAGCCCTAGAGAGCAAGTCGCGCCAACTCCTGGGCTTTCCGGGTGGGTACCGCTTAGTATAACTCGGTGCCCTCGGCCGTCTCTGGGCTGAGCCGTCCTTGGTAGTGCTCTAGACGTCTTCGGTCAGAGGATCCTGAGGGGGTGCTTCTTGCTGGGCTGCGACTGGCCGTGGAACTTGTTGCCCCTCGTTCTGCGGCCTTACCTGCTGGGCCACTTGAACGGGGGGTTCGGCCGTTGCAACTGAGCTGGGTGGTACCAGATATGCGTCGTAGGTTTGACCGGGGTTTGTATGGGTTGTAGTTGAAACGGCCGAACAGTAGTGAAGATGGGAGCCTGACGGCAATAACGACGTATGTAATGGTGAAACGGTCGGATTGCTCTGACCGTATTGCTGTGACGAAGCAGCGGTCCAGTTGCTTGGGCCGGGATGGGTCTAGACGGCCACAGTTGTTTGTGCCTAAATAAATCACGGTCGTCAGAAGGGACCTCTTCTAGGCCATGTCACCTAATAATGGACTAAAACGGCCACGTTTCGTCAATAATTTAGCCTTTTCGAAAACAGAAGAAAAATACGAATTATGGGCCGAGGCCGAGGTCCATGAGAGAGACGGCCAAAGATACTATGGTCAAATCGCCACGTGGCCTCAGGGTCCCACGCCCCATTTAATGAAGTAGTGCCTCTGACCCCTACAGCAAAACCACTGGGTGCAAGAAGCATTTAATGCACGAGGGCAGAACACAAGTGATTGAAGTCAGAATTTGGAAACAGGAATCAGAGTGGTTATGCGCAAACATTCTCACAAACCGTTCTCACAGCTTGAGGTCAGATCACCAACCACTGGACCAGAGCATTAAATGCGTTCCCACGGCCAAGAGTGCAGAGCCCACGATCATGGCGGTGGCCAAGATTTGCCGAGATTTATGGGGGTCACACCACCATGCTTCACGATCCCAAATGCCGATTTGACTATCCACTTGCCCCAATCAGACTTCACCACGCTTCACAACCCCAGACCACCATGATTCACGATCCCAAATGCCGATTTGACTATCCACTTGCCCCAATCAGACTTCACCATGCTTCTCAACCCCAGACCACCATGCTTCACGATCCCAAATGCCGATTTGACTATCCACTTGCCCGGCCAAGCTCCACCACGCAGGTCTTGTCAGCTTTGAATGTCCTTCCGAGACTCCTATAAATACTAAGCTCAGGACTACATTCAAAGGGTTCAAACACCAAACCAAAAGCCTCCCACGGAGCAACTTATATTTTCTGTAATGCACATTCATTACCTTTATTTGCTTTCTTAGGAGTAGTGGTAGACTGTAAGGAAAATCCATTCATCAATATATCATACGACCCTTGATTTTCTTAGGAGTAGTGGAGCACCACCTCTGTTATCGCCTCACTCACCCCATATATCATATGACCGTCGCTCTCTGAGCAACGCGCTAGAGCACCACCTAAAAACCCACCACCAACACCATCACTAAACGGCCTTGTAGCTCAGGCCGTGAACCTGACAGCCGAGATTCGTTCCTCACTCGGTCACAATCGTTTGATTAGGAGTCGAACGCAAAAAGGGGCAACATTTGAACCATCTTCTACCCGAACCTCATCATCACCTCGACACACGGTAGACCGTGCTGGCACGCCCGCGCACAACCGCACCGCATCCAAAAGGAGGACGTCACGTGTTGACGCACATCCCCTCGGCCTGGAGCACCAGGCCGCGAGATTTACGATGGACCAACAACAGTGTGGACTGGGCCAAGTTGCTGGACCGCGGATTGTGTGGGGCTGCTTTGCCCTAGTTTCACGGCCAAAGCACGGAGTGGGCCGTATGTCGTCTCTGCTGGGTAGGTCGGTACGGGATTTACCCATGTTGGCTGGGATTGCCCCCAGCTGTTTGTCGGGGGCTGAGAATGCTGGCCGTAACCTGACGCTTGGGTGCGGCCAGAGACGACGAGGCTGCTGCTTTCACCGTAGGGCTCGAACCTCTCGCGCTTTTGGCCTCTCTGTCCAGCTCTAGGACGCGTTGCGGACGATGTCACCGGCATCCTTTCCTGAAAAAACGTCCGTAGCTCTGAGGAGAATCTGTCCATTGAGGCCATAAAGGATGTTTCTATCCTGTAGGCCTGCTTTACCATCAGATCTTCCACGACTGCTTGCTCTCCCATGGACTTGGCCTTGCGATCCGTCGTCATTGGACCGCTGGCCGAGATTCTAACCGCGTGTTCGGTCTCGGTCATAGTGATTGGTGAGCTGGACTCAGGAGCCTCGGAAGTCATTTCGACTGTTTTCTTTTTGAGTTTTGCATGTGCCCTAGTTTCCACCATAAGTTTTTGACACAAATCCCACTGGGCGTACCAAAAGTGTTGTCTGTCGTGAATCTCACGGCCTGGTGCTCTGGGTCGAGGGGATGTGCGTTAACACGTGACATCCTTCTTTTGGATGCGGTGTGGTTGTGCGCGGGCATGCCAGCACGGTCTACCGTGCGTTGAGATGATGATGAGGTTCAGGTAGAAGATGGTTTAAATGTTGCGCCTGTTTTGCGTTTGACTCCTAATCAAACAATCATGGCTGAGAGAGGAACTGATCTCGGCCGTCAGGTTCATGGCCTGAGCTACAAGGCCGTTTAGTGGTGGTGTTGGTGGCGGGTTTTAGGCAGTGCTCCGGTGCGTTGCTCAGAGAGCGACGGTCGTATGATATATGGGGTGAGTGAGGCGATAACAGAGATGGTGCTCCGGTGCCTTGAATATCAAGGGTCGCATGATATATTGATGAATGGATTTTCCTTACAATCTACCACTACTCCTAAGAAAACAAATAAAGGTATTGAAAGTGCATTACAGGAAAATATAATTTGTTCCGTGGGAGGCTTTTGGTTTGGTGTTTGAACCCTTTGAATGTAGTCCTGAGCTTAATATTTATAAGAGTCCTAGAGGGACATTCGAGGCTGACAAGACCTGCGTGGTGGAGCCTGACCGGGCAAGTGGGTAGTCAAATCGGCATTTGGGATCGTGAAGCATGGTGGTTTGGGGTTGAGAAGCATGGTGGTGTGACCCCCATAAATCTCGGTAAATCTCGGCCACTGCCCTGATTGTGGGTTCTGCCCCCTTGGCCATGGGAACGCATTTAATGCCCTGGTCTTGTGGTTGGCGATCTGACCTTAAGTCGTAAGATTACTTGTGAGAATGTCTGTGCCTAACCACCCTGATTTCCATCACCAAATCCTGACTTCAGTCACTTCCCTTGTGCATTAAATGCTTCTTGTAACTAGTGGGTTTGCTGCGAAGTCAGAGGCATTACTTCATTAAATGGAGCGTGGGGCCCTAAGGCCACGTGGCGATTCAACCACAGCTTTTTAGGCCGTGTCTTTTCCAGCCTTCAGCCTCGGCCTTCAATACTGCGGTCGCGAGGCCGAGAGGATTCTGCCTTTGCAGCTTTTCTTTTGTTCTTAGAAAGGCGAAATGCTTGACGAAACGGTAGGCGCCAGGGCCGAAGGGAAGTCCCTTCAATCAGTTCATGACCGTGATTTATTAGGCATAAACAGAGTGGTCGGTGTATTCCACAGTTTTAGCGATTGCATTTCAATCAAAGCACACCAAATGACTACTCCCACCATATTATGATGTTGACCACATTTTGGGCTCAATCCGATGTCGATTGGACAATTCAAGTTCATATGAAGTTCATTCCATAAATGGAGTGGTTGGTGTATTGTATAGTTTTAGCGATTGGATTTCACTCAAAACTCACCAAATGACTCCTCTCACCACATTATGATGTTGACCAAGTTTTGGTCTCAATCTCACATTGATAGAACCAAGAAATTGGACAATTCAAGTTCGTTCCTTAAATGGAGAGGTTCTTGTATTGCATAGTTTTAGCAATTGGATTTCACTCAAAACTCACCAATTCACTACTCCCACCATATTATGGCATTGCCCATGTTTTATGCTCAATCCAATATCAATTGGCCAAAGAAATTGGACAATTTAAGTTCATACGAAGTTCGTTATGTAAATGGAGTGGTTGGTGTATTGCATAGTTTTAGCGATTAGATTACACTCAAAACACACCAATTCACTCCGCCCACCATATTACAACGTTGCCTATCTTTTATACTCAATCCGATATCAGTTGGCCCATGAAATTGGACAATTCAAGTTTGTAAAAAGTTCGTTCCTTTAATGGAGTGGTTAGTGTGTTGCATAGTTTTAGCGATTGGATTTCACTCAAAACTCACCAAATGACTCATCCCACCATATTATGTTGTTGACCATGTTTTGGGCCCAATCCGATATCAATTGGCCAAAGAAGTTGGATAATTCAAGTTCATACGAAGTTCTTTACGTAAATGGAGGGTTGGTGTATTGCATAGTTTTAGCGATTCAAAACTCACCAAACGACTCCTCCCACCATATTATGTTGTTGACCAACTTTTCGGCTTAATCCAGTATTGATTGAACCAAGAAATTGGACAATTCAAGTTCATACAAAGTTTTTTCTGTAAATGATGGAGAGATTGGTGTATTGCATAATTTTAGATTGGATTTCACTTAAAACTCACCAAATGACTCCTCCCACCATATTATGATGTTGACCAAGTTTTGGGCTCAATCCGATATCGATTGAACCAAGAAATTGGACAATTCAAGTTCATACGAAGTACGTTCCGCAAATGGAGTGGTTATTGTATTGCATAGTTCTAGCAATTGGATTTCACTCAAAACTCACCAAACAACTCCTCCCACCATATTATGATGTTGACCAAGTTTTGGGCTCAACCTGATATCGATTGAACTAAGAAATTTTACAATTCAAGTACGTATGAAGTTCTTTCTGTAAATGGAGTGGTTGGTGTAGTGCATAGTTTTAGCGATTGGATTTCACGCAAAACACACTGATTCACTCCTCCCACCATATTATGACGTTGCTTGTGTTTTGGGCTGAATCCGATTTCGATTGGCTATAGAAATTAGACAATTCAAGTTCGTACGAAGTTCGTTGCGTAAATGGAGTGGTTGGTGTATTGCATAGTTTTAGCAATTGAATTTCATTCAAAACACACCAATTCACTCCTCCCACCATATTATGTTGTTCACCATGTTTTTTGGAACCAATCTGATATCAATTGGACCAAGAAATTTGATAATTGAAGTTCGTACTAAGTTCGTTCTGTAAGTGGAGCGGTTGGTGTATTGCATAGTTTTAGCCATTGGATTTCATTCAAAACTCACCAAAAGACTCCTCCCACCATATTATGATGTTGACCAAGTTTTGGGCTCAATCTAATGTCAATTGAACCAAGAAATAGGAGAACTTAAGTTTGTACGAAGTTCGTTCCGTAAATGGAGTGGTTGCTGTATTTCGTTGTTTTAGCGAATGGATTTCACTCAAAACACAAGAATTTACGAATGGACACTTCAATCCGATATCTGTTGGCCAAAGAAATTGGACAATTCAAGTTCATACGAAGTTCGTTCCGTAAATGGAGTGATTGGTGCATTGCATAGTTTTAGTGTTGGGATTCCACTCAAAACTCACAAATAACTCCTCCAACCATATTACGATTTTGACTAAGTTTTGGGCTCAATCCGATATCGATTGGCCAATGAAATTGGTCACTTGAAATTCGTAAGAAGTTCGTTTCTTAAATGGAGTGGTTGGTGTATTGCATAGTTTTAGTGATTGGATTTCCCTCAAAACACACCAATTCAATCCTCCCACATATTGTGACGTTGCTCATGTTTTGGGCTCAATCTGATATCAATTGGCCAAAGAAATTGGACAATTCAAGTTCGTACGAAGTTCATTCCGTAAATGGAGTGCTTGGTGTATTGCATAGTTTTACCCTTCACATTTTACTCAAAACTCACCAAATAACTCCTCCCACCATATTATGATGTTGACCAAGTTTTGGGCTCAATCAGATATCGATTGGCCAATGAAATTGGACACTACAGGTTCGTATGAAGTTGGTTTCATATATGGAGTGGTTGGTGTATTGCTTAGTTTTAGCAATTGGATTTCACTCAAAACTCACCGAATGAATCCTCCCACTATATTATAATGTTGCCCAAGTTTTGGGCTCAATCCGATCTCGTTTGAACCAAAAAATTGCACAATTCAAGTTTGTACAAAGTTCGTTCCATAATTGGAGTAGTTGGCGTGCTGCATAGTTTTAGCGATTTTCAATCAAAATACACCAGTTCACTTCTCCCACCATATTATGACGTTGTCCATGTTTTGGGCTCAATCTGATATCGATAGGCCAATGAAATTGGACACTTTATGTTCGTACGAAGCTTGTTCCGTAAATAGAGTTATTGGTGTTTTAAATAGTTTTAGCTATTGGAATTCACTCAAAACTCGCCTAATGAATCCTCCCACTATATTATAACATTGCCCAGGTTTTGGGCTAATTCCGTTCTCCATTGATCCAAAAAATTGGAAAATTCGAGTTCGTACGAAGTTTGTTCTGTAAATTGGAGTGGTTCGAGTGTTGCATAGTTTTGGCAAGTTTTGGGCTAATTCCGTTCTCCACCAAGTTATGGCGTTGCCCAAGTTTTGGGCTCAATTAGATATCGATAGGCCAATCAATTTCGTACGAAGTTCATCCCATAAATGGAGTGGTTGTTGTATTGCATAGTATTAGTGACTGGATTTCGCCGAAAACATACCAATTCACTTGTCCCACTATATTATGATGTTGCCCATGTTTTGGGCTCAATCCGATATCGATTGGCGAAAGAAATTGGACAATTCAAGTTCGTACGAAGTTCGTTTCATAACTGGAGTGGTTGGTGTATTGCACAGTTTTGGCAATTGGATTTCACTCCACCCACTATATTACAAAGTCATCCATGTTTCGGGCTCATTCCGATATCGATTGGCCAAAGAAATTGAACAATTCAAGTTCGTACGAAGTTCGTTCCGTAAATGGAGTGGTTGGTGTATTACATAGTTTTGGTCATTGGATTTCAATCAAAACTCACCGAATGACTCCTCTCACCATATTACAATGTTGCCCCAGTTTTGGGCTCAATCCGATCTCGATTGAACCAAAAAATTGGACAATTCAAGTTCGTACAACGTTCGTTCCCTAAATGGAGTGGTTGGTATATTGCATAGTTTTAGCGATTGGATTTCACTCAAAACACACCAATTCACTGCTCCCACCATATTACAATGTTGCCCTAGTTTTTGGCTCAATCCGATATCGACTGAACCAAGAAATTGGACAACTCAAGTTCGTAAGAAGATCGTTCTGTAAATGGAGTGGTTGGTGTATTGCATAGTTTTCGCAATTGGATTTCACTCAAAACTCACC